CCCCCCCCCGCATTAGCTGGCCCGTGTGACCAGGGCCTCTGTGTAGCAACCTTGGAGTTCCTTGGTGGTCTCCCATCCAAGTCCTAAACCAGGTCTGACCCTGCTTAGCTTCTGAGATCTGACCAGACCCGGCTAGCCTGGGCCAGCCAAGTCAGGGCAGTTAATGTGCTATAATCTGTACGATGATGAATGTGCTATTGAAGAGTTCAGTGTGTTCAGTGACATGAGTTTTCCCATCATATAGACTTCTGGTCCTATTGTAATGGAGCCTGAAGATCTCCCAGAAGTACAGCTGATCCCCAGACCAGATAGATCAGTTCCCCTGGAGAAAATGGCTGCTTTGGAAGGTGTGGCATCATACTTCTTTGAGGTTCTTCCCCTTCCCCAAACCTTGCCCTCCCCCGAGCTGGCAACACTAGGTTTCCGTCCAAATGACTCACTTCCTTTTACTACGAATGTGCATTTTTTAAAATTGAGGTTAACTGGTTTGGTTAGTCCAGTCACCATTAGTTAGCAGAGCGCTTAAATAAAGCTACAAACGCAGGAGTGTCACTTTACCAGGTTACTCAGCTTACAAAGCTACACAGAGCCACCTTGCAAGTTTAGAAGAGAAATACTTCTCTCTTTACTGGAGAAGTACACTTTGGATAGGAAAGAGGAGAGATTGATAGGTTTCTAACTTACTAGCTAAAGGATGGAGGCGGATGGTGAGAGGCCCGTCTGCCTCGTGGTGCCAAGAGAGGACAGCATGTCCCTCTCTTGGCACGTGCAGGTAGAGAGCAAGTCTTCATCCAGAGCGAGAGAGAAGCAGGAAAGGGGAAATTGGTCCCTGAGATCACAATCTGCACCCTCCCTGGGCTCAAGATTCTACTTGCTCCAGGCACCGCCTCCAAATCTCCATTTGCATGGCGTCACTGACACTTCTGTTACCTGATTGGCCTGCCCTGCGAGGGCGGCCAATCGGAATGTAGCTGCCAGGAGCCTCTCTCACAGTGCCTGTTCATCTGAAGCTCTCGCTACGCGACAGGTTCTTCCCCACCTGCCACAAGCTGCCCCTTTTCTCGCCAGCCACAGTGCAGGTGGTGACCACTGCTGCTGTGGCCCAAGACAAGAACACCAACAGGTGGCTGCTGTGGGCTGGAGGCAGCGGGGGAAGGAGGAGAAACGGAGACACAGGAGGAGAGGACTGTGAACTCGGCCCTTCCCTCTCACAGACAGCGGTCTGATCTACTTCACTGACACGTTAAACATTGCTCATGGATTATTCATTGATCACTGGTTCACATATTCATCACTCGTTAAATTATATTAGCACATATCTTCACTTACTCGCGGGAAGTTTCCAAGGTAGAACTGGCAACCTTAGCCCAGAGAAGACCAACAAAGCCTGTTTGGATTTCTTGCCGGTGTTTCCCTCTTAAAGCGGCAGGATGGGAAACCCTGAAACCGGGGAGACCACGCCCTCCTTTCCCAGAGACCACCAGCAGCTTTTCGTAGGCTATGCTTGGTCATTGCTACCCCCCTCCCCCCAAAAAAAAGGTTTTAAAAGTATACATTTTAAGAAAAAATGGGAGGCCTCTGATTATCTAAATTAATATTAGCATGTTGCTCATCTTAAAGCTGTTAACCTTTTGTCCCAAAGTGTTGGCTCCTAACTACTCTCTCCTTTATACTACTATATGCAGGCTTCAACATGACTGTTTTGTTACTATGTGCAAATGGGAAAACCAAGTGGGAAAACCAAGAACAAAATGGCTGCCTCCAATGGGAGCTTCCTTCTAAAACATCGCCGTGCAGTTCCATCCTCCCGGAAGCCGTCTTGACTTTTAGCAGTCAGCTACACAAAGCTCAGTTTTATTGAGTCCTTTGGGAAGAAAGTGGCTTCAGTGCCAGATTTTCTTTTCCAAAAAACACATGAAGTGCCACAAATAAGGTGGGTGTAGATGCTCATCTCCAAAAGAAAGAGGGAGACGGGAATTTTAGGAACCCTGCATACAAGTGTCTCATTTATTCCATCGCAAGCCTGCCCTCCTTGGCTAGTCAAGGGGGGGGGGAAGGAACATGCTACACAACGGCCCTAAAAACCACTTTCCAGAATTAAACCACATCAGAGAAGGACCAGGAATAGACCTGCTTACGCAGATGAACAACCGCCTCACAGCTATTGAGCACTCCATCATTCAGGCTGCCCCAGGGACAACATGTCTCTGGTTTGGGGAGCTGACTGTGACAAGTGGCAGATTCTACGACAATTTAAGGTCTTAATTTCCCCTCACACCTTACATATAAAAAACAGGGTTATTCTGGGCTAGGTGAAATGAATGCTGGGTCAATAATTCCCTCAGAATCAATCATGTAACACGGAGGTTTAATTTTCATCTCGTTAAAAAAGCCCTGCTGCTGCCATTTGACTCTTCTGCCTCCATTTGAGCGCTAGTCTCTGGCTCTAAGGCCTGTGGCCGACCAGTCCTTCTGCCAGGCGCAGGATC